AAAAACATAATGGAGCCAGATGCAGCAGGACCCCGGGTTCTCACGAAGCGGAATTCAATGACGAACCCCGAGTGACGTCTACGTCTGGCATTTACGGGGGAACGGTAATAGGAAACAAGTGCAGGTAATAGGGCAGAACAAGAAAGGGCTGGAGCGCCCTTTAGAGGAGGAGTAGTGATCGTGACAGATACAAAATATATTTAAAAAAATGCAAAAGTTCAGTTCACTTCACAAAGTTGTTTTTTATATATATCAAAAGAAACATAACAATTAAACAATTTCAAAACAAATATTTTATAGCTACAATAATACAAAACCAAATTTACTAATAAGTGCTTACCAATACACTCCTCTACATTTTTAGTTATTTGATTTATTTTTTAAATAAAATTAGTCAGTAAACTGGTACATCCAATTTCATCTCATGCTTCGGCTTTGCACATTGCACGTCTACACAAAACTCAAATACTAAGATTTACTGTTGGAACAAGAATGTTTTGGTTTCTCTGTTTTTTTTTAAAGAAAGCAATAAAGCTTGGAGTTTTAATCTTAGAATTTTTGTTTTGGGGAACAGGTGAATTTATGTGAACAGGTAATGGAGTGTTATAGGGGTAGCACTTTGCTGAATAAATGTGTATGCAAATACAGCACTTAATAAGCTATTTCAACTTTCACCAAAATCTTAGTACATGCACAGAGATCTTCCACAGTCTGGTAATATGTCCTTCAAGAGTAGGACTGTAGTACAGTATCTCTTTGTAATATCTTAAATTAGATTTTCCGTAAATGCCCAAATCAGGGATTATGGTGTGTGTGCAAGTTTGTTGATGGAGATTTTGTGAAGTACCACTTAATTTGTTTATACAGTAGATAGATTAAGTATTCTTCAATTCAACTTTTCTTCATCCTGACAAGTCTTCCCTTTTCAGTATGGCCGAGTGGTATAAGGTACCAGACTCAAGGACTCGTGTCTTCCCAATTCACTTGGGTGTTCTGGTCTCTGAATGGAGATGTGGGTTCAAATCCCACTCTTGACAGCTACACTTTCTCCAGCAGTTATATCACCTTGAAACTGACATCTGGCAGCCCACTGAATATAAGCAGGTGTGAGCCTGGTCAGTACCTGGATGAGAGATCACCTGGGAAAACTAAAGTTGCTGCTGGAGGAGGTGTTAGTGGGGCCAGTAGTGGGTGCTCACCGTGTGGCATATGTGAGTATTAATGCCCCAGTATAGTGATGGGGACACTGTACTGTAAAAAGGTGCCGTCCTTTGGATGAGACATAAAAAACAGAGGTTCTAACTCTCTGTGCAAATAACTGCAAAGCACTCTGTAGTAACCTGTTGTGAAGGGAAGGACTCTGTATAAAAATAGCATTGAATTGAAACAGAGTTAACAGCTGGGTGAAGGCATTGTGACATAAAATGTTTACATTCAGAAACCTACAGGCCTATTCATAGATCAAACGATTATTTTCCCTGGATCGGTTACTATACAGTGCCTTGCGAAAGTATTCGGCCCCCTTGAACTTTTCAACCTTTTGCCACATTTCAGGCTTCAAACATAAAGATATAAATTTTTTATTTTATGTGAAGAATCACCAACAAGTGGGACACAATTGTGAAGTGGAACGAAATCTATTGGATTTTTGAAACTTTTTTAACTAATAAAAAAATGAAAAGTGGGGCGTGCAAAATTATTCGGCCCCCTTGCGTTAATACTTTGTAGAGCCACCTTTTGCTGCGATTACAGCTGCAAGTCGCTTGGGGTATGTCTCTATCAGTTTTGCACATCGAGAGACTGAAATTCTTGCCCATTCTTCCTTGCAAAACAGCTCGAGCTCAGTGAGGTTGGATGGAGAGCGTTTGTGAACAGCAGTTTTCAGCTCTTTCCACAGATTCTCGATTGGATTCAGGTCTGGACTTTGACTTGGCCATTCAAACACCTGGATACGTTTATTTGTGAACCATTCCTTTGTAGATTTTGCTGTATGTTTGGGATCATTGTCTTGTTGGAAGATAAATCTCCGTCCCAGTTTCAGGTCTTTTGCAGACTCCAACAGGTTTTCATCCAGAATGGTCCTGTATTTGGCTGCATCCATCTTCCCCTCAATTTTAACCATCTTCCCTGTCCCTGCTGAAGAAAAGCAGGCCCAAACCATGATGCTGCCACCACCATGTTTGACAGTGGGGATGGTGTGTTGAGGGTGATGAGCTGTGTTGCTTTTACGCCAAACATATCGTTTTGCATTGTGGCCAAAAAGTTCGATTTTGGTTTCATCTGACCAGAGCACCTTCTTCCACATGTTTGGGGTGTCTCCCAGGTGGCCTGTGGCAAACTTTAGACGAGACTTTTTATGGATATCTTTGAGAAATGGCTTTCTTCTTGCCACTCTTCCATAAAGGCCAGATTTGTGCAGTGTAAGACTGATTGTTGTCCTATGGACAGACTCTCCCACCTCAGCTGTAGTTCTCTGCAGTTCATCCAGAGTGATCATGGGCCTCTTGGCTGCATCTCTGATCAGTCTTCTCCTTGTCTGAGCTGAAAGTTTAGAGGGACGGCCAGGTCTTGGTAGATTTGCAGTGGTCTGATACTCCTTCCATTTCAAGATGATCGCTTGCACAGTGCTCCTTGGGATGTTTGAAGCTTGGGAAATCTTTTTGTATCCAAATCCGGCTTTAAACTTCTCCACAACAGTATTACGGACCTGCCTGGTGTGTTCCTTGGTCTTCATGATGCTCTCTGCGCTTTCAACAGAACCTTGAGACTATCACAGAGCAGGTGCATTTATACAGAGACTTGATTATACACAGGTGGATTCTATTTATCACCATCAGTCATTTAGGACAACATTGGATCATTCAGAGATCCTCGCTGAACTTCTGGAGTGAGTTTGCTGCACTGAAAGTAAAGGGGCCGAATAATTTTGCACGCCCCACTTTTCATTTTTTTATTAGTTAAAAAAGTTTCAAAAATCCAATAGATTTCGTTCCACTTCACAATTGTGTCCCACTTGTTGGTGATTCTTCACATAAAATAAAAAATTTATATCTTTATGTTTGAAGCCTGAAATGTGGCAAAAGGTTGAAAAGTTCAAGGGGGCCGAATACTTTCGCAAGGCACTGTAACTACAATTACTAATACTAGCACTACTACATTGCTGCCTTGCAGCTCTGGGGCCCAGGGTTCAGTTCTGTGGAAATGAAGGGTTTCCTTTGGATGCTCCAGTTTCATTGCGCAGTCTTAAGATATACTGGTAGGTTAAGTATTGGCTTGTGGGAGAAACTGTCCCTGGTGTGCGTGTTTGTGTCTGTGTGTCCTCTGCAATGGACTGTTGTTTCACCTGGAGTTATTGAAGCGGGATCTATGGCATTATTTATTTCATTTGGGTATATTAAAAATCTTTCATTCATTTGAAAAAATAGTTGTTTTTTAAAGTGTTGCGTTGAGGCAAAAAGTGAGACCACACACTGGACAGGATACCAGTCTGTAGGAGCACCAGTTCACCCTGGTAAGATGTGTTTGGACTGTGGCAGGATACTGGAGCACCTAGAGAAATCTCAAAGGAGTGTGGAGAGAACTTGGAAGAACAGAGTGTGGAGCTGTGAAGTGACAGCGCTACCATACCACTGCGCCATCAGACAATATTAAAGTCATTAACACACATTCAAAGAGACAGTATGGTTATTCTGATTGTCTTACCAGATATTCAAATATAGTACTTTCCATTGTTATGCACAATAATTCACAACCACAGTAGCAGCAGGATTTGTTACTAAAGATGAATGTCTCAGTGTATGGACAGGTTATAATAAATAATCTGCAACAGTAAAGCAACCAGAACATCGAGAACTGATTGCAGCTTTCTATATAATATCTGCACCATCCAGTCATTTCTTAGAGCCTGATTAGCAGTAATTCTTGGGCTTTTGTTATATCAACCAAGCATGTCAATCAGTATCAAGTTTTGGTCACTGAAACCATGACTAAACATTCCTACAGTGCATCAAACTAAACACAGAGTTTTGCCAAAACATACAAATGGAATTAATAGTAAACATTTCCTTTTACTTTTTCCAAAAAAATAAACCTTTCTTTCTTCTCAACAACAATAATAAAATAATATTAATGATCATAAGAAGAAGACGAAGAAGAAGAGCATATTTTATATAGTATATTATAAATATGAATGAATGTCAGACAAGTTTTTTGGAAAAAACAAGTTTTTTTCTAACAGCTGGGGAAAAGGCTTTGTTGTTGTCATCCCCCTGAACATCAGTTAAAAACCTGTATTTATGGCATTACAGCGATTTGTTTCTGCTGTGGTATTGCAGTCGCTATGCATTATAGTGTGAAAACAATCAGAAATTTTAAATTAATGTTTATATAATTTAAAGCAGTTTCTAACTCCACTTGCATGCTACTGCTTTAATATGGAACTGCAGTAGCAGGGCATGTGAATTTTAGCAATGCAGTAGTATACTTTGCTAAATCACTGAAAACTGTTTCAATTTACTGAAACTTATTAAACAATTAAGGAATTATCAATTATTATTACAGAGAGTGTTCAGAAAATTCAGATAAGCATCTATCTACAAACAAACTTCAGAAAGAGATGCAACACGTTAAACCTGATATCTCCAAAGTCAGAATCATCTTCTGCAACCAGCAACAAAGATAATAAAAAGGTCATTTGTACATGTGCAATTAAACTCAAGTTCTCAAAACTCAGACATGCATTTTCTTAATAAATAAGACAACATAGAACTCATTTTATTTCAACAGCCCTTTACTTTGTATACTATGTAAAAAGGACAAAACAACCAGAGACTAGTCTAGACATGGTTGCTGCAAGGAACGCTTCTGAGGAATGAGTATTTACTGCATTGCTTGTTAATCGAAGAGAATACCATACCCAAAAATGATATTCCCCTCATCTCTCTGTCTCCTTTCACTTTTTATCACTTATTTGTTGTATTCGTGCGTTAGGCTTGGCAGAGGAATTTTTTTTCGATGTTTCTGGTGGCAGGTTTTTTGTTTCTTCTGGTACTTTCCAAAAGGGGAAAGTAAGTCCTTTGCCACATACACTAGGCTGGGCGGGTGGAACGGTGTCACCGTGGACAGGACAGCATTGCTGCCTTGCAGCACTGGGGCTCTGGGTTCGATTAGGGTGATATCTGTGTACAGTATACTGTTTAAAACAAAGTCTTTTATGTTCTTCCCTGGTTTGTGCTGGTTTCCTCCAGATACTCCAGTTTACTCCCATAGTTCAAAGACATACTAGTACAGTAGGTTAATTGTTTTTTGAGAAAGATGACTCAGGTGAGAGTGTATATGTCTCTCTGTCTATGTGTGTCCTGCAGAAGACTGTTGTCCCATCCAGGGAGTATCCTGGCTTGTGCCCATTTCTTTCTGGGATAGTTTCTGATTTTCCCACACTGAATAAAGCTGTTAGAAAATGGATTTCAGGAATAGGGTGGGCTCTCTTCTGCTGTGGATTCAAAAGTTCCATGCTTCTGGCTATACAGACTATGACTCGTATTGGAGAAGTGCACACTTTCGGGAAAACCAATCTGGAAAAAGTGACCAAAAATATTTTACTGGTATTTCCAGTTTCTGGAACAATACAGTGAGGTACATTGTGAATCCAGGACCTGGCACAGAAAACCGCAATGTGCAAGTCCAGACACTATGCCAGTGTGGAATATATTTTATACATCGCAAAAAGCACCTTAATATCCCTTGTTAATATTCATCTGACTCTCTGGTTCTCATGTGACACTCGATTTCAGTGTGCAACAGCACTAACAAATACTCAAGCACAGCTTGTGCAGTGTGTTAAAAGACTTTCAACAAACTAAGCACAACACAAAAACAGATAGTTTTAGTTGTTACTACAAAAAAGCTGGAAAAGGTCAGTAGTGTGGAGCACTGGTTGTGTTTCTGGTTTGTGGGTTCAAATGTAAGACACTGCTGTTGAACCTCTGAATTGTTCTAATAAAATACCCAAAGTATGAATGGGTGCAAATGTTGGGTAAAAGTGTTAGAATAAATGATACTTACAAAGGGGCATTTATAACATAGTGTTTTTGCACCAACATGTGTTAACACTTCATATGTTAAATACCATACAAGAATGATAGCAAAAAGAGCATGAATAAACTATTTCTTAAACCCCCAATAAAAGAAACTGACAAAAATCATTGAAAAATAATGCCTTTATTCAACTTTATATTCACAGAGTTCAAATCAAATTATTGAAATGCCACTAAAAATGACCAGGAATAAACACACAAATACATGTGTGCTTTGCTTCGAAATTTTACATTAAAAAAACAGAAACCTGGTTGATAGCCACCACCACTAAAAAGATATTTGTGAGTGACTATATTATTTCAAATCTAGAATAAAACATTATTCTATATAATTAGTAGAAGGTTTTCAAACATACTTGGTTGCTGTTACTAAACCAAACGTTTGACTTCAGAGTAATTATTGTAAAGATTCCTTTATTACTTGAATTATGCAGCTACAAATTAGAAATGTGGATCGAATGCTTTTTTATGTTTAACGGCGGAACATAGAAAGGAAAATCCCTAAATGATCCCCCAAGCCTCTCTTAAATTCACCATTCTCTTGTAAACATCCTGGTATTATTGCCCAGTCAGCATTTATGTAGATCTGAAGGGAAATGCTAAAAGACATAAATGCTTTAGACAAATAGAAACACCTGTGGGGAAAACCAGGTTCATGATATGATAGAAGGTCTGTCAACAGTATTAGAAGCTGCATGAGCTGCAACTTGAATGTAAGTATAACAAATTTATCATTTGAATATGAGATTTTATTAAGAAATTCCTGAACTTTTTTTTTATTTTAATCACAGAGAATATTGTATTCCATTGCATTTTCAGCCTGTGCTTTTTTCACTTTAATATGTCATGACAAATCTGTGTTTCTGGGTTTCTAAACATTTCATTGCACTAAACCGAACTGAACTAAACACAATTTCAGTAAGCTGTGCAACAACTGCCAACCTACCAAATCTCTTGATAATTTCTAGTAAATGTGTATATGTACAAATGTATACATTTATATATGTTGCTGCATCACTTTAATGTGTGTTTCACAAACAGCTTGCTCTTCATCAGAAGTCCATGTACGTAAGACATTTCTGATTTGACGCTAATAATTTAGTCAGCATTGACAGAAAATATTTTAAAATATTGTTAGGGCGTTAAGATCACACGTTTTAAAAGAATGTCTCTACTTTATAATGCAGTTTCACTTGTTTAAGAAAGTACAGAGAAAGTCAGAATAAGTACATGATACCTGTCAGTGAGTGTCAATGGAGTGTCAGCATCAAATGGAAAGTCACAATTCCACTTTAACTTTAAAATCCACTTCCACTTTAAGAATTTACCTGATTTTTTTTAAGCTGAGAAAAAATTGGAATAAAATGGTTTGTGAAAATGTGTAAAATGTAAAGAAACTCTCTCTGTGGCTGATGTTCCAATTTCATTCCAAATAAATCCTTACCACACAACAGATTGTTATACTGTAGCACTCATTTGCAGGGTAAGGTTATCATTTCCTTTGGCTTAATACTAAACTAATTATGACATTTAAACCATCAACACAATTTGCCACCTTCTTCACACTGTACGAGCAGTTTAGACATAATGGTTTATTTTCACATGCACAAGAAACGGTATGAAAGAATCAAAGTGACCTAATAAATATACAGTACAAACAGACTTTTAGAAACTAACATTGTAAAGCACTACTAAAGTCTACTCTACTTTAGATGTTTTTTTTAGTTTACTGTGACTTTTCTTAATTTTTTTTCAGATTAAATACAACTTTTTCTCATTTTAAGATGACTAATGTTTACTACTTGTTTTAAATATGTAGACAAGTTGATTTTGTTTTGGAAATAAGAAAACTCATTGAGCACTCAAATGCTCAGTCTGGACTTGTCTTAGTAAAACAATCAACAATTTAATTGTATTTCACTGGGTTGTCATATGTTCGAGGAGTGTGCATTGCACAGTTCCTGGGAATTACAGAGACAGTTATCTGCATATGATGTGATCCCAGCAAAGAATCGGTTTCTGCTCTCTAGTGCACCAGTACAGAACAACCTCCAAGAGCTGTGGTCTTTGACCCACCTTGCCTGCCAGGGAAGTCTCCTTGGTACGTACCCAACCTTTAGAACGTTGTATGAGAATCCAATAATGAGACGAAGGGAGAAGCATGCCAGTCCCTCAGAGAAAGCATTGGGCCTGAAGACATCAGAGAGCTTGACAGAAGTGATAAAGCCCTACTACCTTAGGAGAACAAAATAAGACATTCAGAGAGAAAGCAAAGAGCAACAGCCAGACAAAGAGAATCAGGTTGCTACTGATTCTGTCAAGATGGCCCAGATGTCCAAGAAGAATGATCTTGTGGTGTGGGTTTATCTCAGCCCCTTACAAGAGAGACTGTATAAAAAGTTCATTTCTACAAGATGTCTTGCTGACTTAAAGTTAACTGATAGCGATAGTCTGATGAAAATCCCTAATCATCCTAGATTGCTTACTGTCAGAGAATACAGTGAGTTGCTTGACTGGGATGAGTTGGGTTTAGATCTTTCACATGATGAATTTATCGAGGACTTTGATGAGAATAACATGTTCCAGCTTCCAAGTGAGAATCTTATTCAAGAATCAGGAAAGATAGCATTCCTTGTGCCTTTACTTGAAAGGCTCAGAGAGGAGGGTAATCGAATTCTTGTCTTCTCTCAGTCTGTAAACATGCTGGATATTATTTTTTGGAAGAAAGAGAATTTAAGTTGCTGCGAGTAGATGGGACAGTATTTTCTGCTGCCCAGTGTCACCACCGTGTCACGTTGTTTCAGACACATAGCCAGTATACAGTCTTCTTACTGACAACTAAAGTAGGAGGACTAGGGTTCAATCTAACAGCTGCCAATCGGGTGGTCATTGTTGATCCCTCCTGGAATCCTGCCACAGACAGTCAGGTTTTAGACAGAGTGTACAGAA